ATTTATCCAAATCATGTATTACATAAATTACGATTAAAACGATGAAAGAACCAAAAAGTGTGTTTTGTGTTTTGTTGTTGCGTGTTGGATGCGGGATCCTGTTATTTCCGAAATCGACAAAAAATTTGGAAATTTAATTTCCGAAATCGAAATTATATTAATGTTTTTAATATTCTTATATCAAAAGGATTAAAGTTCATTAAGAGAAAAACAATTCTTCTTCTTCAATCTATTGGCGCATTTATTTCTACACGCCAATAAGGAAGGGAAAATTATAAGACACCATGGTGTCTTCAAAACGCTAATTTTTGATATTTTTAACAACCCTAGAAAAAAGATTTTTTTAGGGTTGTTAGATTCCCGACGATAGGTGTCTTGGAAGATTTGCCTGGTGTCATCATAGTGTCTTTAAATCAAAAATTTTATTTTGGAGTTAGTTTTATTGATTTTTCAATAAAAAACATTTCTAAAACAAGAAAATAAAACGATAAAATATTTATATTTTATATAAGGATCTTATATATTTAAAATAAATATCATTTTATTTTTTTCATTGGTGTCTGTCAAACCATAATACACTATTCAAAAATTCAATGTGTCTTGCGGTTTCAAAAGACACCTTCAAATTGAACGATAGCACAGACACTATTGAATTTTACCCATTTTATTTAGTTTTTACCCTTTTTATTTTTAAGAATTAATGACTGAAACAGCCGTTTTGCTATGACCTCAATCACTTTTATTTATTATTTTAAATATTATTTAATTTTATTATTTGAATAGGCCAACTTATATTTGAGAAGCTCAATTTGAGACCACTTAATACATTGAAATATCATAAATATTGAAATATTAAAAAGTGTATTTCAAAATATTGAAATTATAAAAATTTATAATACTGAAACTGAGACAAATTAATAAATTCAATGTGTTTTTTTTGAAATAACTCTCAAATATTATTTTTTGTTTATTTAATGATGAATAAATATGATTGCTTTAGTCAATCATAAAAACTAATTTAAGTTTAAAATAATGAAAGGATAATTTGATCGTTTTTTAAAATACAATTATTTTTGATGATTTGCAAGAGTCTTTAAAAAAAAAAAAAAAAAAAAAAAAGGCAGTGGGGCTTCCAGGCACTTCGTGCCTTCTAGCCCTGAGGATGAATGAGTATAATGAAGTTTTTTTTTTCTTGGGGGATGGCTTCCAGGCACTTCGTGCCTTCTAGCCCCCGAAGATGTTTAGAATATGAGAGAGGTCCTATAAACCGGAGAAAGTGTCATATAAACATCTGTCATTTTACTCAGAATTTTCATGAAATTTACACCAAAAATATATTTTAGGGTAGAAGGGTATATCTAACCTCTTTTCTAACCTCTTTTCTACCCTCTTGAATTTTCATGAAATTTACACCAAAAATATATTTTAGGGTAGAAGGGTATATCTAACCTCTTTTCTAACCTCTTTTCTACCCTTTGAATTTTCATGAAATTTACACCAAAAATATATTTAGGGTAGAAGGTATATCTAACCTCTTTTCTAACCTTTTTCTACCTCTTGAATTTTCATGAAATTTACACCAAAATATACTACTAGGGTCATTTACGAAGAAGTCTCAACAAAGTTTTACGAAGAAGTCTTAACAAAGTCTTTACGAAGAAGTCTCAACAAAGTCTTTACGAAGAAGTCTTAACAAAGTCTTTACGAAGAAGTCTCAACAAAGTCTTTACGAAGAAGTCTTAACAAAGTCTTTACGAAGAAATTCATGAAAATTCAAGAGGGTAGAAAAGAGGTTAGAAAAGAGGTTAGATATACCTTCTACCCTAAAATATATTTTTGGGTCATTTACACTCATTTACGAAGAAGTCTCAACAAAGTCTTTACGAAGAAGTCTCAACAAAGTCTTTACGAAGAAATCTCAACAAACATAGACAAGAAAGTTCATGAAAATTCAAGAGGGTAGAAAAGAGGTTAGAAAAGGTTAGATATACCTTCTACCCTAAATATATTTTTGGGTCATTACACTCATTTACGAAGAAGTCTCAACAAGTCTTTACGAAGAAGTCACAATAAAACATCTGTCAAAAGCCGCTTTTTAACTTTACTTAAAATGCCACGTAAGCTACGTAAGAATATACGTAAGAGGAAGAGAGCATTGAAACATCCAATAGTAAAACTGACACCACAAAACAGTTGCAACAACAATGCTGAATGACCCCACTATGTTGCAACAAATGTCAGCAATCCTATGCTTTTAACCGAGTTGTTGGTGCACAGAGTGGAGTTTTAAGAGGCACTTTTAGCGAAAATGGCAGGCTATGGTGGAGCTGCAGACGGAACAGCCTATAACCCAAAGTCAAATGAATTTGAGTTCACTCAAAAATCAAATATCAGATGTCAAAAAGTCAAACATAGACATACAGAAGCAAATAAGTGAAAACGAAAAGAAACTAGAATATGACAGACACACAAGAAACTCAATGAGTTAAACGTAGAGAAAAAGAAGAAAGAAGAACAACTGAAAGAACTAAGTACAGAGGAATATGCGAAAAAAGTGTCAGAAAAAGCAGCAGAAGTAGCAAAAATGAACAAGATGTTGTAAATTTGAAAACCATACTACTCAATATAAAGTACTGAAAGATGAAGAAATAAAACAAAAAGCCCTGAAGACATATATGATAGCGATGAGTATAAAAAAGAAGTTGAAGCAAATGTAAAGCAGAAAAACTTTTACAGTTGCAAAACCAAACCGTACAGTATGAAAACTTTAGCACAAGAAAGTAAAAATAACGACGCAGCCATGCAAAAAGGCAATGAAAAGCGCAGAATATATAAAAGCTAACAATGACTGGTAGATGCCCAAGCCAACGCTAAAGCAGCCCAGCTTATAGGGTCAATAAGGACAAAAATACAAGCGGATGAAGACAGTTCAAATGAAGCTTTAACAAATGCTGACTTTAAGAATGCCTTCGAAGCTCTTCATAGTAAGGTGAATACTAGTGAACGACTTCTCATCTGGAAAGAAACTGAAGTCTGAAGGTTTCGACAAAGAGTTAAGAGAAGTAGCACAAATATGACGAAAATAACAGATGCAGCAACGAGACAGGCAGTTCAAAGTGCCTATGACGCCGTTAGAGCAACTGTTGTGGAAAGTCAAGAAAAGAGTTACAACAGACCAAAACAGACCTAGTAAATGCTTTCTTAAGAACGAAAAGTCAGGTAGGACATTACGCTGCAGATGGAACATATGTGCCAGCTGGTGGAACTTATATACCACCAAACCCTCCAAGAGAAGCACCTGCACCAGGACTACCTAAAACATTTACATCGTCACATGGACACAGACACAGGCATGCACCAAAACCAACACAACAACAACAACCAAAACCAACACAACAACCAACACAACAACCAACACAACAACCAACACAACAACCAGCACAGCAACCAACACAACAACCAGCACAGCAACCAACAGTTCAAAACCCTGCACAACAACAACCACAAACAGAGCAAGGACATAAAAGAAGTAGAGAACAAGGAAACCAAGAATTCTTAAAAATGCTTAAAGAAGAGTGTGGTTTCCCAGATAGTATTGACTTTAGTGACAGATATAAAGAAGCTATTAGAAAGTTCAAGGATGGAAATACTGACCCGGACCTATTTAGCTTTATGGCTCAGCACCAAAACGGATATAATCTCAAACCTGGAAAATACAAGCTCGCTAAGGGATATGATTTAATAGCATATCATCCAAATGACATGGATGAATTACTCCGAGATATTTGATGTCAGAGCTAAATGACAATTCAACTTTCGTCATGAAACGCGTAAAAAATAGAGACGGAACGAAAAACAAAAGCTTATGAATGCGGATGACGTAGATAGGGAAATTGTTGAAACGGTCTCGGAATATATGAAATGCCAGCAGATGAGGTACAAGAAACTCCACAGGAAGAACTAGTTCAGATACAACCAGACATGGAAGAAATATTCAGCAACAACAGCTAGAAGAGCCTGAAGGAAACGAACAAGTCACTCCTTTGGAAACTAACTTCACAGAACTAGATGAAGATTTGGAACAGCCGAAAAATCTTGACCCTCAACAAGAGTATGCGGAGAATATGGAATATTTCCAAGAGTCTAAAAAAAATTCGGCTGACATAGTAGAAGAATATCGAAAAATGTTTGCCGACATACAAAAGACTCCAACACCAGATGAAAATATTCAGCATAGAATGGAAGTACTGAAAGAAATGTACACAAATACAAAACCCTTTTTACTTACGAGCATTTAACGTTCAATCTTCGGATGAACTCGGTGAAAATAAAAGGTTAAATTTCAAGAAAACATATAGAAATGAAACATTGTTTAAAGTTCATTCAGAACCTAACAAGATGGAAACAAACCTACTTTTGTTTCTGCAGACGATGGAACTACAATGAGATGGGTCATAAAGCTAACCCGGATAGGTGGTTCATAAACTTACAACCACAATTCCAAGAAGTTGTAGACGCAATGGAAGTCAATGGTGAACCAGATATAGCTGGTATTTTAAGCGCCGGCTTTAATGCCATTGAAAGATATGAAACATGCAGATATTTTGGACCAGTATGAAATGAACATGGCTGATGAAATATAACACCTGACGTTCTAAAACATTTATCTCAAAGAACTACACAGAACCTAAAGATGGATATATTTGGTGAAGAGTTTAGAAAGAAAGTTAGGAGAGCGAAGAAGAGAACCTATTGTACATGACCTTGCAAACGAAAGTTTACAAAATGTCATAAAAACTTACTTTGCAGACAATGAACTGAGAAGGGATGAATATTTAAGAAAACTCAAATGGACAGTACAAATGAAATGTTAGTATTGAAAAACATGTTCCTTGACAAAATAAAACCAACTACAGAAATAAACGACGCAAGACTGAAAGATTGGGTAAAAGCTTTCCCATTCACAAAGATATTGTTGGTAACATGGAAAGAAAACCAGAATGGCTACAAAACATATATTTGGAAACGAGCATATTCCATATGGACAGGCACTGTTTGAAGAGCTTGAACCGGAAACTCAGGAAAGAGTCATGCAAACAATACGCGAAGACTCAAATACAGACTATGACAAACTCTTTCTAGGATATAGGGTACCTGAGATGGGCGACCAGAGCCCAAAGGCAAAAAGGACATGGGAAATTTACAACATACTAGTGAACATGAGGCAAAGATGCAACAACTTGAAGCAGAGGGCAATGAAGGAAAAAGAAGAGTTAAAAACTCAGTCAGGAAGAAAGTAAAGCTTGGTCCACGTGGGTTCTATTATGACATATAAATCCAACTATTCTATATTTTTACTCATATGAAATGTACGCCGCTCAGAATATAACGCCAACAGTTTTGGATGCCATGAATGGAAATGTTTCCGAATGGTATAACGAATGCGACAGTGCCATTAGAAGGTCAGAAATAGTTCCTGGAACTTACGAATATACAACTGCTGTTTCTTATGAAACGTAGGTGAGTTTGGAGAAGGTTTCTTCAACAACAGTAGATATTGCTTGCGACAGGTTTCATATAATTTCTATTGACAACTTTCTTATACGTGGAACAAGACATTGAAATAAAACCTTCTGCCAAGTTGTCTGACAAGAAAGGTTGCAATGGAATTTTCTATGTCGGATACCAATATGCTCCAGAAGTTTTCATGGGATATAAGATATATTCTAACTCTGACTTAGTTCAAACAGTAACATGGGCAAACTATGAATGGTTCGCTTTGAGAAACTCAGTACAACCACAAGCTAGAGAACAAACAGACCAGTATGCAACTATTGAGAAAAATAAGAAGACTTGACCCTAACGTTCCAGGAGTTTATGTTAACCTTTCTGGACAAACTGCAGCAGCAGTAACCAAAGTAAAATTGAAACTTAGAGTTCCTTTGTCATCTTTCCTCATCTTCAGGTTTTTAAGATACTTGCCAAACTGGGCAGAAAAATTTCTATCGAACTTACTCCAAGCAAAAATAACTTAGTCATTGCACCAACGCAAGACCCATTCACTCTTAAGAAGTAGTGGGAACAAATAAAATGTCATTCGCCGACTTTTGCAAAAACAAAGTTGACTTAGACTTTGGTGTCTCAAACCTCAACACTGAAGTAAACTATTATTTCAATGCTGCTGGAGATGCTTGGACCCAGTTAAGTTCACATGCGAAAAATTTGAATGCAAGAGAATAGAAAGCAGACTTGCAGTCTATATGTTGGACCCAGATATTTCAAATGCTTTAGCTGCCAAATATATTGCAGTTCCACTTATGTTCCCTATACACCAAAATCTGTCAAAGACTTTGCAGGTGAAGTTGGAAACCAAAGTGCTGACCAGGTGCAAGAACAGATATTGCTTTAACAACTGCAATGAAACATGCAGATACTATGTTTGTACTGTTCAGACGAACTATAAATGACTATTCTTGCTTCTACAACCCTGGTATTAAATATCATATAAACATTAGATGGCAAATATTATCCAGAGAAGAATATTCTACAGTTGAGGATATGAGGTCATACAACTTGACATTAGATGCTATGAACTTTAACAACAATTCACAACAACCATTAACCCTGAAATGCAAAGTTCTATTATGCCATATGTTGAAAGTATGGACTCATACAGGAGGTCAAAAAACTCAATATACAAATGGAGACCGTTCAAACTTTTGGCTTGGCATTCCATTTGCTGACTCAGAGACTTTATGGGTGGTATTTCAACTGTTGGTACAGTTCAAATACAATATCTGGTGACAGAGACGGTCCAGATGAATTGAAAGCAAAGAAGTTTACAAAACCAATAGCACTTTCACGGAAGATGCTCTTTTGAAGATTCGTTCGATGAAACCTGCTGGGGCTCCTCAGATTGCATAACGACAGCTTCCATCGAGCAGATTTTGGCAGCAGGTCAGTAAGTTGTTCTTGAACTGACTTTCTCCGTCAAATATTGACAGTACGCCAGTTTTGATATAATATTGTATATAAACTTTCCTTTAGAAATATCGGTCAGTTTTGTTGTTATATTTTTGTCTGCTTCAAAACTTTCACCCATCTCGGTTATACCAACTTTCTTTGCTTTATGAAAAATTTTGGTTCAGCAAAGACTGCTATTCTATAACATTTTCCATTGTTTGTGTAAAGAACTATTCTGTCAATGAACTTGTATTGTTTGTGTGTGTAAACTTTGTTCTGCTTCAATTCGAAGAGATACTCGAATACGTCCATCTTTTTATTCTAAGTAAATGTCATTTCCGAAAAATAGAAGCGTGAGTGTTTCAAAAGGTTTAATGGCGGTGGCAGATGTGAAGTTAATTCACCAACTCAAACAAACAGTCAAAGTGTTGTTGTCATGTCAAGAAAGAGATGTTGAAGTGGGGAAACCAATTTGTATATTGAGTTTTTTGACCTCCTGTATGAGTCCATACTTTCACATATGGCATAATAGAACTTTGCATTTCAGGGTTAATGGTTGTTGTGAAGTTGTTTGTTAAAGTTCATAGCATCTAATGTCAAGTTGTATGACCTCATATCCTCAACTGTAGAATATTCTTCTCTTGGATAATATTTGCCATCTATGTTTATATGATATTTAATACCGGGGTTGTAGAAACAAGAATAGTCATTTATAGTTTCGTCTGAACAGTACAAACATAGTATCTGCATGTTTCATTTGCAGTTGTTAAAGCAATATCTGTTTCTTGCACCTGGGTCAGCACTTTGGTTTCCAACTTCACCTGCAAAGTCTTTGACAGATATTTGGTGTATAGGGAACATAAGTGGAACTGCAATATATTTGGCAGCTAAAGCATTTGAAATATCTGGGTCCAACATATAGACTGCAAGTCTGCTTTCTATTCTCTTGCATTCAAATTTTTCGCATGTGAACTTAACTGGGTCCCAAGCATCTCCAGCAGCATTGAAATAATAGTTTACTTCAGTGTTGAGGTTTGAGGAAACCAAAGTCTAAGTCAACTTTGTCTTTTTGCAAAATTCGGCGAATGACGTTTTATTTGTTCCCATTACGTCTGTAAGAGTGAATGGGTCTTGTGTTGGTGCAATGACTAAGTTATTTTTGCTTGGAGTAAGTTCGATAGAAATTTTTCCTGCCCAGTTTGGCAAGTATCTTAAAAACCTGAAGATGAGGAAAGATGACAAAGGAACTCTAAGTTTCAGTTTTTACTTTGGTTACTGCTGCTGCAGTTTGTCCAGAAAGGTTAACATAAACTCCTGGAACGTTAGGGTCAAGTCTTTCTTATTTTCTCAATATTTGCATACTGGTCTGTTTGTTCTCTAGCTTGTGGTTGTACTGAGTTTCTTCAAAGCGAACCATTCATAGTTTGCCCATGTACTGTTTGAACTAAGTCAGAGTTAGAATATATCTTATATCCCATGAAAACTTCTGGAGCATATTGGTATCCGACATAGAAAATTCCATTGCAACCTTTCTTGTCAGACAACTTGGCAGAAGGTTTTATTTCAATGTCTTGTTCCACGTATAAGAATGATTTGTCAATAGAAATAATATGAAACCTGTCGCAAGCAATATCTACTGTTGTTGAAGAACCTTCGTCCAAACTCGCCTACGTTTCCATAAGAAACAGCAGTTGTATATATTCGTAAGTTCCAGGAACTATTTCTGACCTTCTATTGGCATTGTCGCATTCGTTATAACCATTCGGAAACATTTCCGTTCATGGCATCCAAAACTGTTGGCGTTATATTCTGAGCGGCGTACATTTCATATGGGTAAAAATATAGAATAGTTGGATTATGTGTCATAATAGAACCCACTCGGACCAAGCTTTACTTTCTTCCTGACTGAGTTTTTAACTCTTCTTTTTCCTTCATTGCACTACTTTCACTAGATGAAGTTACTTCTTCACTACTTTCACTTTGTTCTACTCTTCTCTTCTTCTTTGGTGTCGCTTTTGGTAACTTGCCCTCTGCTTCAAGTTGTTGCATCTTTGCCTCATGTTCACCTAGTATGTTGTAAATTTCCCATTCCTTTTTGCCTTTGGGCTCTGGTCGCCCATCTCAGGTAACCTATATCCTAGAAAGATTTTGTCATAGTTTGTATTGAGTCGTCGCTTATTGTTTGCATGACTCTTTCCTGAGTTTCCGGTTCAAGCTCTTCAAATATAGCTTGTCCATATGGAATATGCTCGTTTCCAAATATATGTTTTTTGTAGCCATTCTGGTTTTCTTTCCATGTTACCAATAATATCTTTTGTGAATGGGAAAGCTTTTACCAATGTTTCAGTCTTGCGTCATTTATTTCTGTAGTTGGTTTTATTTGTCAAGGAACATGTTTTTCAATACTAACATTTCATTTTGGTACTGTCCATTTGAGTTTTCTTAAATATTCATCCCTTCTCAGTTCATTGTCTGCAAAGTAAGTTTTTATGACATTTTGTAAACTTTCGTTTGCAAGGTCATGTACAATAGGTTCTCTTCCTTCTATCTCCCTAACTTTCTTTCTAAACTCTTCACCAAATATACCATCTCTATGGTTCTGTGTAGTTCTTTGAGATAAATGTTCTAGAACGTCAGGTGTTATATTTCCATCAGCCATGTTCATTTTCATACTGGTCCAAAATATCTGCATGTTTCATATCTTTCAATGGCATTAAAGCCGCGCTGAAAATACCAGCTATATCTGGTTCACCATTCACTTCCATTGCGTCTACAACTTCTTGGAATTGAGGTTGTAAGTTTATGAACCACCTATCCGGATTAGCTTTATGACCCCATCTCATTGTAGTTCCATAGTCTGCAGAAACAAAAGTAGGTTTGTTTCCATATTGGTTAGGTTCTGAATGAACTTTAAACAATGTTTCATTTCTATATGTTTTGTTGAAATTTAACCTTTTATTTTCACCGAGTTCAGCAAAAGATTGAACGTTATATGGTCGTAAGTAAAAAGGATTGTTGTATTTGCGTACATTTTCTTTCAGTTCTTCCATTCTATGCTGAATATTTTCATCTGATGTTGGAGTCTTTTGTATGTCGGCGAACATTTTTCGATATTCTTCTACTATGTCAGCCGAATTTTTCTTAGACTCTTGGAAAGATTCCATATTCTCCGCATACTCTTGTTGAGGGTCAAGATTTTTCGGCTGTTCCAAATCTTCATCTAGTTCTGTGAAGTTAGTTTCCAAAGGAGGGACTTGTTTGTTTCCTTCTGGCTCTTCTAGCTGTTGTTGCTGAACTATTTCTTCCATGTCTGGTTGTATCTGAACTTCTTCCTGTGGAGTTTCTTGTACCTCATCTGCTGGCATTTCATATATTCCGAGACCGTTTTTAACAAGTTCCCTATTTAAGCCATCCGCATTCATAACCCTTTCTTCTTTCGTTCCGTCTCTATTTTTTACGCGTTTCATGAAGATAGTTGAATTATCATTTATCTCTGACACCAAATATCTCGGAGTAAATTCATCCATGTCATTTGGATGATATGCTATTAAATCATATCCCTTAGCGAGCTTGTATTTTCCAGGTTTGAAATTATATCCCATTTGGTGCTGAACCATAAAGCTAAATAGGTTCGGGTCAGTATTTCCTTCCTTGAACTTTCTAATAGCTTCTTTATATCTGTCACTAAAGTCAAGAGTATCTGGGTAACCATAATTTTCCTTAAGCATTTTTAAGAATTCTTGGTTTCCTTGTTCTCTACTTCTTTTATGTCCTTGCTCTGTTTGTGGTTGTGGTGCTGGATTTTGAACTGTTGGTTGTGGTGCAGTGTTTTGAACTGTTGGTTGTGGTGCAGTGTTTTGAACTGTTGGTTGTTGTGTTGGTTGTTGTGTTGGTTTTGGTGCATGCCTGTGTCTGTGTCCATGTGACGATGTAAATGTTTTAGGTAGTCCTGGTGCAGGTGCTTCTCTTGGAGGGTTTGGTGGTATATAAGTTCCACTAGCTAGTATATAAGTTCCACCAGCTGGCACATATGTTCCATCTGCAGCATAATGTCCTACCTGACTTTTCGTTTTTAAGAAAGCATTTACTAGGTCTGTTTTGGTCTGTTGTAACTCTTTTTCTTGACTTTCCACAACAGTTGCTCTAACGGCGTCATAGGCACTTTGAACTGCCTGTCTCGTTGCTGCATCTGTTATTTTCGTCATATTTTGTGCTACTTCTCTTAACTCTTTGTCGAAACCTTCAGACTTCAGTTTCTTTCCAGATGAGAAGTCGTTCACTAGTTTCACCTTACTATGAAGAGCTTCGAAGGCGTTCTTAAAGTCAGCATTCATTAAAGCTTCATTTGAACTGTCTTCATCCGCTTGTATTTTTGTCCTTATTGACCCTATAAGTTGGGCTGCTTTGGCGTTGGCTTGGGCATCTAACCAGTCATTATTAGCTTTTATATATTCTGAGCTTTTCATTGCCTTTTGCATGGCTGCGTCGTTATTTTTACTTTCTTGTGCTAAGTTTTCATACTGTACGGTTTGGTTTTGCAACTGTAAAAGTTTTTCTGCCTTTATATTTGCTTCAACTTCTTTTTTATACTCATCGCTATCCATATATGTCTTCAGGGCTTTTTGTTTTATTTCTTCATCTTTCAGTACTTTATATTGAGTAGTATGGTTTTTCAAATTATAACATCTTGTTCCATTTTTGCTACTTCTGCTGCTTTTTCTGACACTTTTTTCGCATATTCCTCTGTACTTAGTTCTTTCAGTTGTTCTTCTTTCTTCTTTTTCTCTACGTTTAACTCATTGAGTTTCTTTGTGTGTCTGTCATATTCTAGTTTCTTTTCGTTTTCACTTATTTGTTTCTGTATGTCTATGTTTGACTTTTTGACATCTGTTATTTGATTTTTGAGTGAACTCAAATTCATTTGACTTTGAGGGTTATAAGCTGTTCCGTCTGCAGCTCCACCATAGCCTGCCATTTTCGCTAAAAGTGCCGCTCTTAAACCTCCACTCTGTGCACCAATAACTCGGTTTAAAAGCATAGGGTTGCTTGACATTTGTTGCAACATAGTGGGGTCATTCATCATTTGTTGTTGCAACTGTTGTTGTGGTGTCAGTTTTACTATTGGATGTTTCAATGCTCCCTTCCTCTTACGTATATTCTTACGTAGCTTACGTGGCATTTTAAGTGAAGTAAAAAACGGTTTTTGACAGATGTTTATATGACACTTTTTGTTCAGCTCAAAAAACTACTCGGTCAAAGTGTTGTCAGTTTTGTAAAATAACCGTCCTATCTCATTCTATAAGGGAGAAAAGGCTTCTCAAAGTATACTTCCTTGGAACGCCTGTAACTTTTCCTGTAGCGACGATAGACCCTTACTTGTCCGGACAAAGTTATACTATTTTGAGTGCTCTACAAAAAAGTCAACGGCTGGCTCGTCCTCAGAAATTTTTTATGGGCTAGAGGGCGCAACGCGCCTGGAAGCCCTCCGAATAAAAACTTCATTTATACTAAATATCTTCGGGGCTAGAGGGCGCAACGCGCCTGGAAGCCCCACTACCTTTTTTTTTTTCTTTGCGCCAACAAAATAGCGAAGAATTCTGATATATGTATATTTAAAATATGATTAAAAGTTCTGAACGAAAACTATCAAAAATAAGTCATTAAAAATATAAAAATAAGAATCTAATTTATTGTAGAATAAATATCCGCAAAGTCTTCGTAACATCCTTAATATATACTGTCTTAATTCTATCGGCGCATTACGCCGTTAGAATTAATTATAAAAAAGGATACGAGAAAACAGAGAATTTTGAATACAGACAAAGGTTACTGATGATACAGAAGCAGGAATTTAATTCAAAGGTGAATACATGCTAGAGAAAGGACGATGACACTCATTTAACTATTTACTTCATTATTCTCACTCTTCTTCTTGGCATTCGTGGTGGAAGTTGTTTCTTGACATTTTCAATGAACTGTACATTCTCTTTTGTCTCAACTTCTTTCACTGGCGGGTCAGGATTCTTTGACTCGGTTTGTTTTTCAATGAAATTCACGAACTTTGCAATAAGCTCTTGGTTCGTTATTGAAAGTACATCTGGCTTCTTTTCTTCTGGTTCTATTGACTTTTCAGTTTGAACAGAAGGTTTTATATGGGCTTCGTGGACTTCACCCTTGCCATACACCTTAATGTTGTCGCTTTCTGCATTCGCTAATGGAACCTTTCTTTTTCTTACGTATATTTTACCATCTTTACTCTGACTTACGTAATAGAAAGGATGTTGTATTCCTCTTGCGTCATTTAATATAATAGACTCTCGCTCTGATTTTGACAAGCTCATTTTACATCGGTTAAAGTTTTAATTTTGTTTTTTATCTGCAGTCAAATGACTCAGACAAGCCCTACGGACAAGACCCAAGGGGTCATAGATGTTGAAGCATTGAAGAAAGAAATTCGTGAGCAAATTTTATCCGAACTGAAGGAACAAAAACAAGAACAAAAGCCAGAGAGACCAAAGAGAAAACTTAGTGAAAAACAACTTGCTGCATTAGCTGCTGGAAGACAAAAGAACCCAAGACTACTGGCGAAAAAAGCTAGAGAAGAAGCTGAAGCAAAAGCTAAAGAAGCTGAAGCAAAGAAAGAGTAAATGGTTTATTTTTATCGGAACTAAATGTATAGACAAATACCTTTATCTGTTGCGTTCAGTAGTGAAAACCCTGACGTCAAAATAAAGGGGAACAGAGTAACGTTTAAGTTTCCAACAGACTGGATTGTGAACATAAATGAAGAGAAGTACATTGGCATAACATCTATGTATATAACACGTGCTTTCAGAAAGGTTGACTTTATACTTCAAGTCGAGATAGAAAATGACGAACAGTCTTTAAGCGCCAAAAACATTCACATATACAAATACTTTAAAGACGATACAACATTGCAACAATGTATGATTTCATTTAATGCGATGTTCGAGAAAAAGTTCAACATTGAAGTACAAACTTTACAGCCTTTACGTGAGTTTCTTGCACAACTGAAAGAAGAAGGTAGTCAGCCACAACTTATAGACTTTCATTATGAATTTAATGAAAATGAAGATGGAACTCATGACTGTCAGTTTGTTGTATTCTCACCATTCAATGAAGTCGCTAAAGAGAAAGAAAATCCATTACGTATAAGATTTCAAATCTCTGAACCAAGTGATGATTTCAAGAATGTTTTCAATTATGATGCAATGCTTCCGAGGAAAAATGAATTTTCAAAGATTGTAACACCTGGCATTTGGGATAGAAAGCAAGCTATATTATATTCAAACTTAAGTAAGGGAGTTGAAAATGAGTTCATTGGTCATACAAGAACTTCACCACTTCCTAACCCTAAATACTATAAATTAACTGGCTTCAATCGTGAGTTTTGGATAGACATGTTCTCCACTCATGACCATAACTGCCCAGTGTTCTTACCTCCAGACCATAAGGACTGTCTCTACATTGAAGCACAACTCTTAAACTCTACCATCGCAGTATTGTAAATGACCACATGGGCTTCGCCCTTGCCGCTAGCGGCTTATTTTTATCATGAATGGTCTCACTGCTGACAAAAATAAATGACCTCATTATTTTTCTCATTCATGACCTCAGAACTTAAGCTTTCTTATGAATGAAGTCTTAGTCTGAATAGAAAAGTTAAACTTCTCTTCAAATGCAGGTGTAGCAGACTTACATAAGTCGAATGCAATCTCTTGACCGTCATAAAGTGCTTTATATAACTTCATAACACTGAACTCAGAGTCTTTGTCAAATTTTCCTTGCGGAACCATTAAACCTTTATCTTCATCATAGAAACACTGAACAGAGTCAGGAAACATTTCATTAGCGGTTAAAGCAATAACATCTTGCTTCACGCCTTTCATTCTGCAGTGAAATGCAACTTCATTTAAATCATTCGTGAGTAAGTCTATGTAAGTCTTCTTTCCACAAAATATTGACTTGTATGCTAAACTTTGTTTATCTTTTGTGATTTCTGCAAAGTCGCTATGAAATTGACCAAGGTTTTTACCAATGAGAACTCTTCCATAACGTTTCTCAAACTCTTCAGCTAAACGAGGGATATCTTCATTGTAGAGATGCATACTATCCGTATCGCTATAAAAGATGTCCATTCCTAAGTCCTCAGCAGTACAGAATACTTCACACATTATTCTCTTCGACATAGACAGAATGTTAACACCAAGTGGACAGAAGTTAAAGTGTCTGCAAATGCTTTTCGTTAGCTTGAAAATAGTTTTATCTGAACCATCCAAACCTTCGAACTTCACTATATGGTTGTAGTTTCTGATGGCATATCTTATAGCATCTTTGTCATTTACTATGGTTATTTTTGACTCAATAGGAGATAGAATAGTTTTGCCATAAATACTGTTCAGAATGAGCTTTATATTTTCTTGCAAAGGATTTCCTTCTTTCTTATACTTTAACCTTAACTCAAACAACTTCTTTACTTCATCTCTTATTCTAATATCTCTGTTTCCATCGTAATAGTATCCTTGCAACACTTCACATTTGACACCTTGATATTTTATGAGGTCTTGTAATGTTATATGGTCAACATACATTAAACAGCAAGTGTTTGAACTTCTGGGAACGTTAAGTTCTGGATTTAGTTCAGGGTCACAAACTATTAAAGGAAAGTGTCTATGTATTCCAATCTCTGTTATCTTAATGAGAACAAAGAAGCCAGACATAAACTTTTCACCAATGGGTTCCTTTTGGTCGTCATCGAATAAATGTCTCATGAGATACTCTGTGCTTAGCATCTCATCCTTCATAACCTTTGGAATACCTTCTAAAGTATAAAGTCTTGCTATAGCTGATGGATATAATGAAACAGCGTCGAAATCAGCAATGAGTTTCTCTTTACTTTTTTGTTTAATGTTATCTGACAACATACATCTTCCACCTTGAATGCATCTCGAAATAAATTCTCTTGGTTTATTTGAGAGGTCATATAAATTTCCATTCGGGAAGTACACTCTGTTCTCAAATAATTTGTTAGCAATTGAACAAATGCTAACGTAGTCATAAACGTTTAAATCAAATTCTTTCAATATGTCATTGCGGAACTTAACAAAACCTTCTCTTAAAATTCTTACATCTTGTTTGCAATAAAATGTGCTATACTTTTCTAAGTCGAAGTGGTTTTCATCTATTCTGCAACCTTTGATGGAATCTATGTTTTTCATGAACGTATCCGCATCCCGGATAAACTTACATGCTTCAGAAATGACACCAGTTCTGTTGTCATTTGCTAACAAAACACTGCTGTAGTAGTTGTATGGAAATACTTCTTTCGGTCCTGTTTGTAAGTTAAACATAGCAGGAAATAGTTTAAGCTTCTTATTTATAACACTGTAAGAGTCTTTTATAATAATTGCCCTTCCTTTATATAAGCCAGTTATTTGCATTGTTCGTGAACCTTTAATGATGGGAGTTCCTTTCACTTCTGTCATGTGTCTTAAGATGAAGTTTATATCATAACTGAGGTTATGGAAATATATTAAACTCTTGTCAGGAAGTCGTTCCAAAAATTCTGTTGCACAGTTCTGACCCCAAATGCTTTCACTCACTGAACCATCTTCACTGTCATAACATATGTTAAAAGCTTTATGAAAGCCATCGGTACTGCACTCAAAGTCAGCAAAGAAAACGTGCTCAGGAATGAACTTGTACTTATTTTTATTTACTTCTTTTGACTCGGCTTCCTTCTTCAGTTGTACACAATACTTTGGAGCATATGTCAAATCTTTAAATGGTGCAAGGTTCTGTTTATATAAGTCAGTCGTATATGTGAAAAGTTCTCCATAAGAAATAGGTTCGAAATATTTGCACTCCCACAATGTTTTCATAACATCCCATAACGGTGTTGTTCTATCATAACGAACTACATATTTGTTCTCTCTCTTTGTATAAATCTTCATCTGTTTCTCAATGTTCATTCCACCACACTCCTTCAAGATTTCTATATAGTTGCGAATGAAATATGTTGTCATTGGTAATCTTTCGTTTAGCATGTAGTGGTCTTCAACAAGAAGTAAGTCAATAGTTCGAATAGTTTTACATTCTTTTGGTATGTATCTCTTTATTTCATTATGTCTTGAGTCATTGAAGTAACCAATGGTAACATTAAATGCTATACCTGTTGCATCAGAAATTTCTTGTACTTTACTTTGAGGAAAGTCTCTAACACGAATGACTTCTCTCATGTGGTCAATAGTCTCTCCATCTACTCCAGCCTGAATGCAAGCATAAATGAAACAATTGTCTTCTGTCATAAGTGTTGCAGTTCTTTTGTTCATTCATTGAAGATTTGGTAGCGCTCAAGATTTATAGGTAATGTGCAAAGATACTTCCAGAACTGACCGCTTCTCTTCTTATAAAACTTCTTTTCACCATTATCTTTCCAAAAGCTTTCTATAAGTGCTGGGTTTCCTGTTTGCTTAAGAGCTTCCAAAATGGCTTTCTGGTCATTTGTCAGTGTGCTTTCATCTCTATATGGTCTCTTTTTTGGTTTGCCTTTCTTTACATCTGACATCGTTAAGCCTTCATATTCTGTTAAATCATACATCTTTATTTCGGTAAGATTCTTTATGTTTGTCAAGAAGAAGTCATAGTGCATTTCAACAATACCTGCAGCATTTGCTTCTATCTCTGATATAAAGTTCTCCTTCAAGAGCTGATGTAGTAATGTTCCAATATTATTGAGGTTTAACGTAGAACATTCATACTTTCCACCAAGTTTATAACATACCATCCATCTCTGTTGTGAGTTTATTTTAATTTTCTCTAAGAGTCTCATGAAAACCTTACCGAAATGTTTGTGTAAGTAGTCTCTGTTTGGTTCATCTAAAGCTTCGATGTTAAAGTCAATGAGTCTATTGCCTGACTTCACATTTCTCTTCCTATTCTCTTCATCTTTCTTTAACCATCTCTCACCTTCTTTTGGTTTGTCGTCAATGGAACGAATGACATCATTGACTTTGCGAACTTATTCTATAGCACTTTTAAACATCTCTCTTCTCTGTTGTTTCAGTGTGTCGTCTCTCTTTCGTGTTTTACCAACGTTTGCATTTGTTATGTCATACATTTCTCTTCTTACTTCATGAGGTACAGCTCTTCTTGTTTCACCAACGTTTGAGTTCGTAAGTTCAAACATCTCTTGACGAACGTCATGAGAAAGAGCTTTACGAGTATGACCAACGTTCGCATTTGTTATGTCAAACATTTCTCTTCTTACTTCATGAGGTACTGAACGTCTATGATATAAGTCAATAGCAACGTCATTTAAAGGAAATGCTCTTGCATGGACTTCGTCCTCGCCGCGTTGCGGCTTTATGAACTCATGAATTCTATCATAACTTATTGCACCATTATAGTCATTGAGGATGTCAGCGAGTGCCTTTTTGTTTGTTGCGTAATGCTTTGCAACATCTATATTAGCTTCTGTAAGAAGTTATTTTATTTCCGAGTGTTCTAACTTAGACAACTTCCGATACATCTTTAGTAGGAAATAAAAAATTTTTTTTGAAAAAATTAGATTAGATTTTTTTAAGTTATTTTTCAAAATAATTTAATATTTTTATTTTAATGAAACACATGCAAGATTGCAAGTTCTTTTCATACAATGCTCTCGCTAATGCCATCAAGAATGAGTTCAATGGTGCTGCAAACGTTAATGTTATCTTTAACAAGAAGTTTGTGAAAGAATCTAAGTTTGGTCAGTATGTCAGACCATTAGCTATCGTCATTGACCGCAAACATTATACTTCACAAGAGTTAGCAGTAGTTTTGAAACAAAAGAGTTTCTTCGTGAATGTCAAAGATACACACTATACTGTCATAAAGAACTCTAACATTGACTTCTTCAGTATTGCTTTAAATCTTTCCGAACAGAAAGAATATAAGAAAGGTGAAACAAATGTGAAATATTATCCTTCATCTCTGAAGACAATAACGAACACAGATGTTATACAAAAGTTCTTACCAAAGTTTGAAGAAGCTTCTATTGACATTGACGAAGGAAGTGAAATGGTTGAAGAAATAGACCCTGACGTTATTTAAGCAAAAATATATTTTTGGTTAGTCTTCATATCGATATTTTACAACAATTCCCCAATGTATAAACTTTTCATACGCTTTTTCATAAGCTTTATATACCTTCAGAAATTTTGCATAATCTTTAGAAGCATTTAGATATTGTTTAAATGCTTTGTATGTCTTCAGAAATTTTGCATAATCTTTTACATGTTGTTCGTTCTCTTCTTCTGTCATGAGTTCCGAATATTCTAAATTCATGTTCTTTCATATGAGATAAAATTTTATAAAAAAAATAAAATTAGCTTAGATTTTTTTATTCTTCCTCTTTGAAGTTATCGAAATATTCTGTTATTTTTTCCTTCAGTAATGTTAAGTCTTCTTTGAATGTAAGTATTGTGCAACCGTTGATGTCATAGTGTGTTTGAGGAAGAGTATTTTTGACAATTTCCTTTATTTGCTCATTCGGTGTCATTGAAATCGGTAAGTTTTCACGATAGAACCAGTTTCTGTCAGATTTGTAAATCTTAGCTAAGTCATAAAAGCTCTTGTTGTTTCTTCTCACTAAATGCAACATAACCATATCTCTGTCTTCTTCTTTCTCCAACTCTTCAGTATATATCATATACTTATAACTCTTTTCCTTTCCTTTTGGTACTGAACGCGGTATTCTTTTCTGTATGCTTTTGTCTTTGGATTCAATGACTTCATCTTTTGCTTGAAGTTTCTTTTCCATCTCTCCACGTTCTGCTTTATATAGTTCATCTAACATCATGAAAATATAACAAGCATAACGAGGTGAAGACCACATTGCTACAGCGTTTACTAAAAGTCTATGAATATAATAACCTTTCAAACCAGGAGCCAAATTCTTGCGATTTTCGAATGGAATCTCTTCCCCCGGTTTTTCAAGGGAAGCAATCATATGAGGAAATTCTTCTAAAAGTTATTTTGTCTGTTGGTTTTCAAACCAATGATATGCTTGCTTTGTAGAACGAAGAGCGTTCATTATACTTTGCATCTGGTACATATCGTCTTTGACCGAACGAATGAGTCTCAATTGTTTGTTATACTGTATGTATTCATATTCTTCATTAATGGCTTCATGAACGATAGCAGTTGTTGTGTTCTCTAATGTTGTCATTACTGTCTTTACATACAAAATAAAAAAATAAATAAATAAAATTCTAATTTTATTTTTTCTGTCTTAAAGAAATGTTAAAAATTCATGATTTTCATGAAGTTTGGTCATTTTCAACATAACCTTCATTGCATGAAAAGTGTCATATATAACATATATATGATATTTTACTTAAAAATATGCAAGCGGCTCATAGCTCAGTGGTATGGACTCCCTTGTCATAAGTGTCGAGGACCTCGGTTCGAGTCCCGATGATGTTCCGGTTTTTTCCTTTTCTGCAAAAAAATTGAGAGAGCATTGAATTTGCAAGTACAAAGGGTCTATTTGGTGTTAGACCCTAGCGAAGAAAATATGGTACTCGAACGATAGAAGTTTACATTTGTAAAGTTGGACGATAAAATTTACTGACTAACGTCGGTTCGCATCCTGACTGACGTCGGTAGAGACCATGACTGACGTCGGTATGGAATGCTCTCAAAATCTTCGAAATTGAAAGGTTTATGGAATGACTTC